CCCCGATGTGGTTCCTTCTTCTTCTTCTTCTTCGCCGGAGCTCCCCGATCCGCTTGAGCTAGAGCTCGACGACCCGGATGAGTTTGACGACGTGTCTTGTGCGGCGGCCTGCTCGGGGGCTGGCGCCGGTCGATAGGTAGCTTCGGGGGAGTAGGACATGATGTCCACCTCCTCATCGCTGAGATGCTCGACCTCTTCGTCATAATCCGCGATCGAGGCGTTCTGACTGTCAGAGTCCGTCATTTCGATCTACCTAAAGGTCGGTCGGGGTTAGTAGAGGACTTAGAATGTCCGGGACAGTTAGTTGACCTAGGAGTTCTACCAAAAATGGAAGCATAAAGAAAAGAGCAGGGTTAGGAGCTTACCGAGTGAAGAAACTTGGAAGAGGATCTGAAGTTTTGCTTTGCTTGATCGGACTGCTGATCTGCTGCTCGGGACTCTCTGAGGGTACCGATTGCTTTAGAAGATTGAGGAAAGTTCAAATGAGGGCCTCAAGGGCCTATTTATAGGAGAACATTTAGGCGGGAAAGCCGTCCACTTGCGCGACACGACCAGCGCTGATTCCGAGGCAACGGTTGCAGTCGCAGTGGCCGACACGTGGCGGAGAAGGGAATGACAGATGGCCGGTCGGTTTAGCGGCCAACGGTTGGGCTTCTTCATCCCGGCCCGTTTTTTCCCGGACGATCAAAAAGGCCCGGGCTGGGGGGCTCTTGGTAGGGGAATATCCCGACCGACATAGCTTCACCACGACCGAGAAGCCTTTGTCTTTTTCTCTTTGTCTTTGCAGGTAACAGGTCGGGCTCCTTGAGAAGAACCCGGTTGTGGGCCGACCGGGAGTTGCCCGAGCGACGGTGTCGACCACCGAGCGGTAGCCCTTTGGCGAGAGAGCTGACGAAGGACACGTGGCTGTTCTCTACATTGACAGGCAGGGCACCCGGGAGGATGACACGTGGTGGCTACGTGGAGGACATGCCGAACGGCTGGAATCTTGTCCCCGGCATGGCGGCTATAAATACCCACAGTAGCTACAGTGTAGGGGACTTTTGGACGATCGATAGGTTGTTGTTAGAGAATCCCGACCGCAGTCGGTCGGTACTCAGAGCAACCAAGTAGATTGTACTTAGGGCCTCTATTGTGATCAATAAAGTCATTTACTTGCTTTAATTGGTCTCGTGTTGTTATATATTGCTTACGTATAATTAGCAGTATCAATGTTATACTAGAATACACATAATGTTATACATGAATGTACATAATTATATAACAAAATATACATACTCTTTTTAAAAGATAATACACATAATCTAACATAATACATAATAAACATAAACTTTTAACATAATACACATCAACTCTTAACATAATACATACAAATTTTCTGATTCGGATGTACATAATTGTATAAAAAGAATGTACATAATTGTATAAAAAATACACATAACTGTATGAACCAATACACATAACGTTGTGAACAAATACACATAACGTTGTGAACAAATACACATAATCTCAGCAACTTCCTACCGCGCCTCCCAACACTACCCCAAAACGACGTCGTTTTGGGAGGCGTGCGGCGCACAGTGCTATGTGCGCCGTGGTGTAGGATATAACGATTGGATTTTAATTAGTAAGATTGTTTGAAACAAGATGATAACAAGAAAAGATGTTGGTCTCAAGTATACTGGGGTTCGATTCTGTGACCTTCCATAAAGAAGAGTCACAGAGATGTCAGCTAAGCACAAGGTGCTCAGTTTATTCACACAAGATTGTTCTAAAAAATATTGGTAAAAATATGAATATACTATATCTTCTATTTGAAAGGACAACGATATGGTACTCTAATACAAATGCACCATACTACAAATCTCTACTTTTACCATTTACAAATCAACCGTTGCTACAAAATCTTAGATATTAGTAAAATTAAAATTACCTTTTGCGAAAAATAACTTCCTGACATTTTTTTTTTTTTTGAATGCAACTTTCTGACATTTAAAAATATGAAAATTGCCAACTCAATAATCAAAATCAGATTAAAAGTATGTTAAACTCTTGCAAATGCATGCATTTGTTTGGATCCAAATGAGACGTATGGTATGCATAAATACAAATACATTGCAAATAATGGAGAGACAGCCTCAAGGACCAAAGTAAAAATTTCCCAATTCTACTTTGATAGAAAGGGATAGGGTTTCCTTGAATTAGTTTAACTACCCTCCACCCTCCAATGCCAAAAGTACATTCCACTTTTCTGCCAGAGCTCAAAATTCCTAAACACTACCAATTCTAAAAATTAGGTTACGTTGCTCATCATCATAACATCTCAAACTCATTACCCATTTCAAAATACACCTTTTTTAAATTTTCTACATGCATGAAGCACTTTGTGGAATACACCCTAGCCTTAATGTCTAAAGATTTGATAATTAAAAACATTATTGAAGAAAATCAAAAGTCCAGAACCGATGCAGTTCAGGGATTTGTGTAGTTCTGGGACCTAATTGCATCTTTTTTGAGTTCAATGACCTAATTGTATTTTGGTGTGCAATTCATTGACCTATTTGACCCTTATTCCTTACAAAAATAATATCACTCGTCAGTATCCAAGCATATCATGTTCATATTAGAACATGCCTAATTCCGGAGTATGAAAAAATTAATTATAATGGAATAGTGTATATTAGACTTGATTGTATCGTATATTGTCAGTATCGAAATTAATAATACCTGATACAACTCATACAAGCAGGTAAATCAATAATTGTATCAAATCCTATATGACATTGTATCAAGTCTACCATGCTTTGTTAGAAACGATGGGCAGACCAACATTTTTTTAGGCAGACAATACTAGTTTGTATACAGGACATTGTAGTACAAAGAAGTATGGTCCTCTGCATTAAAAATAGTTGAATGAAAGGTAAAAATAAGATTACTAGCCCAAGTAACTAGATTGACGGTCAGAGTTTCAAGCCATATGAATAGAATGAAGCCCGCATAGGCAATTCAACTGATTGCAGAGGTAAAGTTTGTCGCAATAGACTAAGGATTGAGTCTCACCAGCAACAATGTGACCCTCCACAAGCTGTTGCCCCTGGAGTGAACGGTTCCACCTTTTGTCACAATAATAACAAGTGTTAAAAGAGTTTTTTTTTTATTTTTACTTTTTAATTTCAAAATACCCCGAGTCTAATTTAACTACTAAACACCAGGGAGTAACAAAAATGAAATCAACATTATATTAAAGAACATGCCCAACGAGGCTTAACTCAATGATCAAAGGTCGCCCTGAAAGTCTTGCTCTGACGGTAGAGTGGGGGTCTGATTTCCACTGATCTGAAGGCATGGGGGAGTCATTGGGAGACCCAAAGCCCAAAAAATTGATATGGAAACTCCTTATGTGCAATGTGTACAGGTCGAGGTGGAAACTGAGGATTAACTGGTTAGTCTAATGTAAGTTGGAAAACCTAATATATCAAAAAAATTAAAGAACATTGAAAAATCAAACAAGATTGAATGAGATTTTAGTTGTACTTGCATGATCCCTTTAGCAGCAGATGCATTAACTTTTTATCATTTTTTCTTGTGTGTGAATGAGTGATGAGTGCAGGGGAGGGGGAGAATACACACACAGATAATGCAACAGAAGTTAATGAAGATAGCAACCCTTGTTGACACTATAGGAATAGGAATAGGACCACAACCCATCTCGGTTTTGGAGGATAGACTTTGGAGCTACAAAGAGGTGTCCCCCCCTAGCCCACACTGAATTTTGCTGCCACCCCTAATGGCTTGACTTGTCATTTTCTCTTAACCCCACCCCCCCCCAAAACCTACCCACCCACTGAAACCCTCTTTTCTTCCAATGGGCTCAGCATATAGAGTGGGACGGATCAGTTAGCCTAAAGCTAATATAATTGCTTTAATCTGTTAGGAGAAGTAAAAGAGGTGTTAAGGCTGCAACATATCACATATGAGTATGGACTTTAGAGGCTACATTAAATAAGCTATCTGTCAAAGATAACTAAAAGCGAAACAAGATAAAAGAGTATGAATAAATAAAATGTTAGTGTTATTAATATGGCCTAAATGAGTTCCATTATTCCAATTTATCTTGATTGGGTATTAGGGTTTGATTTGGTTGCACTCGAACCAAACTTTGTCGAGCAATAAGTTAAGTTAAAATATCTTAATTATGATATGTAATTGTAAATTTATCTTTTCATATTTATAAAGTACACTTAAAAGTTTGGCAAATTTGCTATGGACCCGTGTTCACCATTTGCATAGTGTACACGTTGTACATTCATAATTTATATACTGTAGATTCATAATTTCTATACTGCACATTCATAAATTATGTACTATATAAATCTACATTATAAATTTTACGAATCTACAGTATAGAAATTATGAATCTACATTACAGAAATTATGAATGTGCAGTATAAAAATTATGAATCTACAGTACAAAATTTATGAATGTGCAGTATAGAAATTATGAATCTACATTATAAATTTTATGAATCTACAGTATAAAAATTATGAATCTACAGTATAGATTATGAATATACAGTATAAAAATTATGAGTGTACAGCGTGTCCACCATACACATGGTGGACACGGGTCCATAGCATAACGCTCCTAAAAGTTTATATCAAACTCAAATTTAGTAACTTTATTGACGGGCCGGTTAAATAGACAATTGTTTTTTTTGTGTGTAACACAAGATTTTCACTATCTTACACAGTGACTGATCCCCTTGCTTGCTTTTAGGCACCTCTAACAGTGAAACAACTGGCCTGAAAATTTAAAGTTGATCCATACCCAAAGTCAAAGCTCAATCCCTTAACACGGGAACATAAGTTTCAAACTAACATTATTTTACTTCTAATCTCAAACTAGAGCTAATTAAAGTTACTGTTTCCCTACTAGAAGAGTAAAACCAAGCTAACATTAATAGATTTTGACATTTCTCTAGGAAAGTACAATCAAAGACTTGGTTAACATCCATAGCCTTGCTGCAAATGACAGCTTTAAAATAACATTAAAGAAGAGGAGAAGATAAAGATAGTCTTGAAAGCCACTGAAAACAACACTGATCTCCTGTCTCTAATATAGCTTTTATATGTGGGCAGAAAGGCTTACAGTTCTGTGCCAATAGAAAAGAATGATGCTTGAAAACATTGGACCTCCATGAACAAGACCATTAAAGCACAAAACACTACACGGATCTGGGGTCAAAAAATAGCAACAGATCCCGACCTACTCAAATCTAAAACGCCAAGGTTTTGCCTCATCAAATCAACATGTGATTTCCTCCATTGAATAAAGTGTACAGTAGTCTAAACTATGATGCATGGTACAAGAAAAGGGTGTACAAGGAGAGAGTTTTCCCTCAACATTGAACTAACCCGAACAACCAACGATCATGAGGTGAAGAATGTCCACAACTTTTTACCAATTGTCGCTTGACCGGGATCATCTGAGTTGTCATCGTCCTCTGAATCACTGTCATTGTCTTTGTTGTCATCACTGGCACCATCATTCCCTTCATCAGCATGCAATGTGCTCTCGTACTCATCTCCCTCGTTGCACTCTGGAGTACCATCTACCTCCTCACTCATGTTGGTTTTTTCAACTAATTTTGCTGTATTGGCATTATTTTCATTACCATCTTCTGGTGCTTTCAACTGCATAAAGTAAAGTGAATTGACAGAGCTCAATGATGCAGTTGAAAACAATAAACAAGAGTGGATACCTAAGGGAGAAAATTACCGCTACACCCCTACTGGAGGAGACAATTTCAGTTTCGACAACTTTGGAATTGGCAACCTGGACCGAAGTAGTTGGATGGCCATTCTCACCAGCAACTTCTGGTGCTCGAACAGGAGGAACTTCTACATTCCCTGCTGCAACTCCACGATTGTTGTTGCTGCGCTCATCTACATCTGTTCTCCCGCTACCAACTGAAGCTTTACCAACAGTCGTTCCTGGGCTGAATATTGAAACATCATAATTTAGGATGACCAAATTCCAAATGAGAATCACAAACTTCATTTTCAATTAATAAATGAAAATTCTTCAAAAAAAATTAATGAATGAAAAAAAAATTGCAGACTTCACAAATGGGGAAAGACCACCTATATCTAGCAATCAGTAGGCATTAATATTATAAATCAAAACATTATGATCCCCAATTCCTATAAAAGGCAAGATACATTAGCCTTAAAACTTACCCATACAGAATAAATTTACATATTCCTTGCTTACTTAAAAGAGAACCAAATCTTAGAAGGATCACTAAAGGCCATAATATTACTTGTCGCACGATAGTCCCATTAACCCAACTCTTTACTGTTTTCACAAAGAGCATTCCAAAACATAGCTCACACCAAAATCTAGTAACAGCTGTGCAGTTAGGGACATAATAAGAATACAGAAAGAGAAGCAAGTAGCTCCAAAAAGAATAAAATTTATTGAAAATTGAATGATTATGCCAAAGGTTACAAGCGCATGTATAGAGGAAATACTAATACTAGTCCTAATCCTACTAGGAATATTAAAGAATACTTAATCTCGAAAAGAAACAAACTATTAACTAGTACTTACTACTAAAGATAGTTTCTTAATATTATACTTCTAAATCTACAAGGAAAGAACCAATACTATCCCAAATCATTTGTAGGGAAATAGTGCAGATCCCTTTTATGATCTTGATTTTCCCATCATACTTAATCTTCATGAATTGATGAAATCCTAAGGTCAAAGCTCCTGCATGAAAAGACTAGATTGCCTGCACCTGCAAGACTGAGCATATGCCAATCTTCCAAGGAAGCATATAGCACCATAAAATATAAATAGACCTAATGCAGGAATGATGCAACATGTGTATCACTATTACTATGTTAATATATTGAAAGGAAGCATTAAAGAGAAAATGTAAAGAAAAACCCATGTACTCAACACATTGAGATTTGTAGAACTGCTCAAGCATGAGCATGCCTTAACAGCTTTAGACAATCTAATAATGAGGACAAACTTACGTCCTGTGTCGTCTCAAATTATAGCGCTTTTCTCCTGTATTATCTACAGCCGGAGCAGTTGTTTGACGCCTCTTCCGTCGACGACCTGTTGTAACACTTTCAGAGTTTCCCTCACTATCATCGGCATCCAGTTCAGCCCCTGTCAATTTAGAGTTCTGCCCACGAGTCCTCTTCCTCCGTGTTGTGGCAGTACTAGAGTCCGCACGACTTACTTCAACCACATCCTTGGAATGATTATCGTGTGGTTGCAGCGATTCTGAAGTCTTACCGAGAATCACAGCAGCATCTTCAACCACTGCCTTCACAGAGCGCGTCCTACGTATTCCATCATTAGCTTTTCTACCACGGGTGCGTCTAACACTTACGTCAGATTGCTGTGACTCCTCAGGTACTTCTTGTCTCTTGTTGTCTATGTTGTTCATATCGTCTACATGTTCCTTTGCATCTTCAATAATCTTCACTGATGCCAGTTGTCGAGTGTTGGGTCCCTCTGAACCTCTAATCTCTATACCAGTATTACTGCTATGTTGCTGATTCTCTTTGACTGCATATGAAGTTGACTCCAAATATTGAGTTTTTTTGTTAGGAGACAACTTAAATATTTTTGAGGTGCATTTGCGGAGCCAAGAAATCTGACCACCAGAGTCTGATAACTTTTGCTCCTCTGCAGTTGGAGACTTTTCTACATAGGAAGCAACCTTATCCAAAATTTCATCTCCCGGCACCGAATTGGGAGAAGCTTCACTATTCTCCATTTCCACCAAATGAACATCAGAGAGAGTGTAATTTCTTGTTACTTCTCCACAATGATCACAATTCTTTATCCTTTCAACAAATGCAAGAAATTGGCCTCTTTCCTTTACAAAATGTTCCCGTTGATTCTTGAGTTTCTTGCTGACAACAGCAAGCTCATTGATGTCCTTGCGCATTTCAAGCTGATGCTCTTCCAGTTTATTTTTGTTAGAAGAGATTTCTTGCTTTTCTTTTTCTAACTTGAGCCTTTCAGATCTCACTTCTTCCCTTTCCTTATTTACTACATCCTTCAAGTAATTGAGTTTGCTAAGTTCTTTCTCTTTCTCCTCCTCAAATGCTCTATTCTTTTCCTGCAAAATCCTATCCATTTCCTCTTGTTTATTGTGCAAATCAGTCTCAAGGTCTTTTCTTCGAGCCTCAAAACCATGAAGGAGTTGATTATAGTCATTCTCAGCTTTTTCAGATAACATTAACTTCTCTTGCCTCATCATTGCAGCAAATGATTCCTTCTCTATTTTAATGGCTTCTAACTCTCTCTTTATGTACTCCTCTGTGGTTGTCTTATTGTTTCTTAATCGTTCATCTTCAGCATGCTGTAATTTTTCAAGGATCTCCTTCTCTTCTCTGACATTTTCCAATTCTTTAGCTACAGCAGCTCTTTTCTCATCTAGTGCTTCCCACTCATATTCAAATTTCTTTTTGTCTTGTTTCAGCTCCTCACCTTCCTTCAAAAGCATTTCCTGTTCAATCCTACATCTCTCAATTGCCTGTTTCAGTTCTGCTTGCAGACGAAGATGCTCTGACCTCTCTGTCTCAGTAATTCTAAGCTTTTCAGCTTCTTCACGAATGTGCATTTCCTTCTGATTGATATCACTCTTCATCTTTTCAAGCTCATCCTTGAGAACTAGCAAACTCTCTTTATCAGAAGATATCTCTTTCTTTATCAATTCCAGCCTTTTCTCATCGGCCTTCACTGTCCTCTCCTTCTCTTTCAGTGCTTTTGACTTATTATCCATGTCTTTCTCTCTCTCTTTGACTCTTTCTGACTTTTTTTCCAGTGCTAGCTCCTGTTTCTTAATTTTATCCTCCAAATGATTGAGTTCCATCTCCTTTCTCTCCAATCCTTCAGCCTTTGTTTTCATCTCCTCATCAAAAAGCTTTCTTTTATCCTCCAGTTCCTTCTCAAACTTCTGCATTTCAGCATCAAGAGAATGTCTTTTTTGATCAACAAGCTTTTGGATCTCAACCTGTAAAGAAATTTAACCATCAGTATAATAAACGAAGTATAGAGAAACAATCAATTCAAAAATGCAATTCAAAATCTCAGCTTCTTCCTATAAATTGAGTCATTTGAGTGCAGATAAAGTGCCAACATAAGTGGATGACATAATTTCAATTTAAACCAAGTCATTCATTTGAATTTTACATCATCAACCTTAATATGACTACAATAATACAAGCTTCAGTAACTAGTAATAACATTTAGTTATTTAGAAATAGTTAAAGAACTTCTTGATCAGCAAAGGAAGTACATTATCTAAACTTATCCAAGCAGAGCTATTGGGAGTTTGGGGAGGTCTAACAATTAAAAAAATAAACAAACCCTGGTGCAAATGAAACAATCCCTCCCTCAACTAACCCTAAGTGATAATGAAAAGAATTAGCCTGACAAAAAAGAGTATGTAAAGGAGTGGCACAAGCTGTGAATAGAAAAAATCTATTAATATCATGAGACTTTCAAGTAGGGGAGAGTGTGCAGTAGTTAAAACAATGAAAACTTTATCTAAATAATTATGAACTCACTCTTTCTCTCTTGCTTAGCTTCTCTGTTAGGCCATCCAATTCCTTCTCCTTCATCTCCATGTTCTTTCTAAGATTCTCTGCCTCCTGCACCCAAATAAAGAAAAAATGGGCATTGCAATCAAAACATATTGCACAACCTTTTAATTAGAAAGTGTAGATTAATACTCACTTTCTCATTTACAATTAGCTTCTCTAGCCTGTTGTTGATATCAACTTCTCTTTCATTTATGGCCAACTTAGCTACATCTAATTTCTTCTGTTCTTCTTCAAGTTTCTTTTCTTTCAGCTTGGCAATCCTTTCAAGTTCATTTGCCTTATCTTCTCTCTCATTAATGGTCCTCCGACTATCACACAGTCTTTCTTCCCTTTCTTGAAGTTTCCTCTCCCACTCCCGCAAGTCTTCTTTGTGCTTGGAGAAAGTTGCTTCATGTGCCTCTCGTCTAGCAATTCAAGAGGAATATATTGTAACTTAATTACAAGAACACTAGATAGATGTCAGATTAAATAAATAAATTAAAAAAAAAAAACAAACAAACAAACAAACAAATGTAAGAACAAATAAATTAGTACAGACAAAGAATCTGACTCTGTATTAAAGGATAGACGCTCCCTCCTCAGGACACTTTCACGGGCCTCAAGCTCATGCAATTTCATGTCAAGCTCCAAATTTTTTCTACTTGCCTCTGCTAGCTTGGCATCAGCAACATGCAACTTTTCTCGCACTTCAAGAGATCTATCCTGAATTCCAGCTTGTATAGCACTTGCATCTGCAACTTTTACCTCAGATGCAAGATTAAGTTGTTCATATTCTGTACGTGTTTCTCGCAGAGCCTTCTCAAGCTGTATAAATAAAATATCAATTTCAAAATCATATTTTATAACACAAGTACGAACAACTCTAAATCATTCAATTACTTTCTTTATCTCCATTGCCCAAAGAGACCTTAATTGGAAGAATTTGAATTGATTAGCAACCATGAATAATGGATCCAACTATTTTATCTTCAAGTGTTTAAACTTTAAAATATAAACCAAAAGTGTGCTACTATAAAATATTCACATGATCGGAAAAACATGTAAGATAGTTTAGATTTTATAAACATCAATGGATTAGACAAGTTTATTCATGCTCCCTATCAAAATTTGCAGGGAGCTAACATAAATTCAGTGATTTAGAAAAAGACAAAATAAAACATAATTATCAAGTGATAAGGTATTGTCATATCAGATTTCTTACATCAGTTACACATTGCTTCACATAGCCTGATAGCCCAAAGCAAAATAAGACAAGCACAGGTGCACGCACACTAATTATCAAGTAATAATGTATCGTTGAATAAGATATCTTACATCAGCCACACATTGCTTCTCATAGCTCAAAGCATTTCTTAACTTGTCCTCCCGCTTCTCAACTTCAGTTATTGCAATTAAATGAGCTGTCTTTTCACGTTTTACAATTTCCCGGGCTTCTGCAAGTGCATCTTCAAGTTCATCATACTTGGAAGTCCACTCCTTTTTCTCAATTAGCAGCAGTCCCATATTGTATTGATAATCAAAAAGCTGGTACAAAATAAATTCCAAAAATTAGCACGTCATGACAACTTCAGATAGTCCAAGAGCCAAAATGATAAGAGTGCATACAGTAACAACAATGAAATTAATACATATTAAGTAACATCTTAGTATTTAACTTTCAACAAATTCAAGACTGATTTCAAGACAATATTATGTAATCTTTTTCAGGAGAAAGCTGCAACCCAATAAATCTAAAATTCAGGTCTCATTCATAACCATTAGAAAAGAATTATAGTTCTTTGAATTTCACACTAAAACGACACACACGGAAACACTAAATTTGCTGTGCCGTTAGTAGGGTTATATTTGATGTTGACTTTCTTCTAGATGTCAAAGGTTTTGTCATAATAGATTTTTTCCTGTAATTGCAACCAAAATTATGATTAGGACAATGACTCAAACTGTGAAAAAATGACACCTGGATCACTGCTTCGGTGGTTCTCACTAAAATGTTTAACACTTCTGGCTTATATAGAGGCCTATTTTCCTCATCTAGCGTTCCTCCTAAGAATTAGGGCTCAGCACAATCCAAATTGTTACTTTTCTTTATCTTCTAGAAACTCACTTCCTTTGCAGCAAGATCTTTAACTTCTCCCAAAAGTTGCCAGTATCTAGTCCTAAAGGTAAGAGGGCTCCATAAAAAGTCAGTCCGTCCCAGCAGACTGTTTAGATTCAATTGATGCACCCAAGCATGGTTTTCACATATGAATTTGAATAGAAACAAAGAATTTGAATCCATTTCAGGTGCCCTTCAAGTCTGTTACCTAAGAAGTCCACATAATTTTGGAATTTATAAAGTGCAATAAGGAATTCAAGACTCCTGATCAGCTAGGGCAATAGCAAAATGTCCCAATCATTTATACACCTGAAGTCATGCACTTGGGAACTTTCTGGTAGTTGGATTAAGGCTTTTTATTTAATTAATTAACAAGAATAAGAAGCAGACTGAGAACTCATATTTCAAACACAAAAGCACAAACCACTAAAAACACCCAATTAAATAAATTTTTAAGCAAAATAAGTGACATAAGAGGCAGACACGTCATGCTTATGAAACTTGCAACAAAACTCAAAATTGGAAACCCTAGAATCAGAATCCCTCACCTCTCTTTCGAGCCTCTCAGCCTTCTCAAGCAACGCTTCACGGTCCCGCCTCTCCATAGCAGCCTCGTCGAGCAACCCAGCCTCCTTAAACCTCCTCCAATCCTCCATGTTCTCCATATCCCGAACTCCCCTGGCCCCATTTTCACTCAACAGCGCCACCGGCGGCGGTGGAGGAGGAGGACCGTCGACGAACGCAACCGCCTTGCCCTTGCCCTTGCCCGTAGCGGGTGTTATCGGCAAGGCCGACCACGACTTCTTCTGCGGCGTAAACATTGGGAAAACCCTCGAGCGCGATTCAGAAGCTGTCAGATCTTAAGTTCATGCAGAAATTGAAGAAACCCTAATTCGAATCTGGGGTTTCCAAGAAATTAATGAAGGACACAATCAATCTGGGTAAGATTAGATTCCAGTACAGACTAGTACAGAGTTGAAAGGCTATGGACTGAATGCAAACTCAAGCGAGTGTTGAGAGTACGAAAAAATGAAGAAGAAGAAGAAAATAAGCTTTGTCTTTGTCTGTGGCTGTGTCTGATTTCTGCGTCGTGAATTATCTATCGTCATTCGGGTGGTTTCCTCTGAAATTTACGATATTGTATAGTAAAATACACATAAATTTCTAACATAATACACATAAACTCCTCTTAACATAATACGCATAAACTCTTAATATAATACACATAAAACACAAGTGTTAAAAAATGAAATGAGATTGAATGGATGAAACGGGGTCCGTCGTGTTAAACTCTCCACACAACTTATAAAAACGACGTCGTCTTGGGCCATGGCATTGTGCGCCCTGGTGCACGGTATAACGATTGTGGAAAACCTAATCTGGCCAGTACTTTCCCCTTTAATTGGACTGACTCAATGAGAATGGAGATTAGTCCGAGTATGGTACGGACTTAAATGGCCTTCTCAGGACATCTCGTGGTCGGACAAAAAACTACAAATCAAAATATTATTTGGTCATTCAACTTTTAAAAATGTAATTAATTTTTTGCAAGTAAATTTTATGCAATTAAATCAAAATTCACATATTATTTCAATTCATACTGATGAAGTGATGGGGCAATTAATTTATTTAAAAATTAATTTTTAAATAATTTTTAAAACAACTTTTATAAGTTTTTTTTAAAAAGACGAAATATCCAATCCCCCATCCCCGCCTTTGTCTCCTACTAGAGAGGGAAAAATCTCTTCGTATCCAAACTAGATACACAGATCATTTATTAATTTATGGCTAGATAAAAAGAACAATTCTTCGTCTCCAGCTAGAAATGAAAGCGGGGAAGGGGTTGGGATATGCAAAGAGTATATTCTCCACCTAAAAACTCGATTTCCCACCCCGCGCCATATTCTTCATCCCCACACCCATATAATTATGTGAAGGGAAAAAATGTGTAAATAACTTAAACTTTAAGTGCACATAATAGCACTATAAAGTGCATTTAGCAACACTATATAGTGCATTTCATGATATGTGAAAGTGCATTGAACGGGTTTATCTTTTAGAGCTTTTAATTTAGTTTTTTTTTTCTTTTGGTTTTATTTAGGGTTTAAATATTTTTGGTTTGATTTAGAAATTTACTTTAGAGTTTTGTAGTATACCTAGCAATACTATAAAGTGCACCCATTATAAAGTGTACCCAATGTAAAAGTGCAATGCACTTAGGGTTCACCTTTTAGGGGTCGTTTGGTTCACGGAATGTAAGATTACCTAGGGAATGTTAGATTGCTGGGAATGTTAGATTACTGGGAATGTTAGATTCCTGTGTTTGGTTAAAATTGGGGTATGTAATATAATGATGTTTGGTTTAGGGTTATCTTTTATACACACTATAATATCCTTAAACATATTTTCATATATTTTAATAAATTTAAAAATTAAAATAAATAAATAAGATAACGGTATCATATATAATCACATGATTTTAAAATATTAACTAAAATCTTGAACTTGAGAAACAAAATTATTTTATAAACTAACATAACATAATATATATATATATATATATATATATATATATATATATATATATATAACTAACATAACCAAGGTTATCTTAGATTACCTAAGATTTTGAAGGGAATCACATTCCCTTCAAAATCCTATGTGGAGGGAATGTGACATTCCTTGGGAATGTTAGATTCCCTGAGATAATATGAACCAAACACCGGAATGTGAGCTTTGGAATGTCACATTCCCTTGGTTATCTTATATAACCTGAACCAAACGCCCCCTTAGATTTTATGATTTACTCCCGTCATCCCATTTTATGTGTCTAGTTAGTTTAACGATGTCTGACTGATCGAAGTTATTATTAATTCAATTTTTAATAATATTAAGTTTACTATTAGTATATAAAATTTATATATTTAGAAACTACATTAAAAGTATTATTAAGCACGAAAAAATAAAATTAAAAATACTAAAGAAAATAATAAAAAAATATATAAAGAGTTGATTTGACTAGTGAATACAGAGTAATACCATTAGAGGTGTACAAACTTTGATAAATTTTCGGTTAACCGACCGAACCGATAAAGTTCAGTTAACCGTTTTTTAACCGAACTTTTTCGGTTCGGTTAATGGTTACATATTTTTTAAAATTTCGGTTAACGGTTCATTCGGTTCGAAACTGTCGGAATGGTCAATTTAGTACACAAACTTATTTTCTAAATTTAGAAAGGTTATTTGGAGTTTATTTAATTATTTTTATAAATTTTTGGAATGGTCAATTTGGTACATAAAATTATTTTCTAAATTTAGAAAGGTTCTCTAGAGTTTATAAAATTATTTTTAAAATTTTTTGGAAGGGTCAATTTTGTACATAAAATTATTTACTATATTTAGAAAGTTTCTCTAAAATTTATAAAATTATTTTTAAAATTTTTTGGAATGGTCAATTTAGTACATAAAATAATTTTACAAATTTAGAAAGGTTCTTTAGAATTTAAATAATTATTTTTATAAATTTTTGGAATGCTCAATTTGGCACATAAAATTATTTTCTATATTTAGAAAGGTTTTCTAGGTTTAATAAAATTATTTTTAAAATTTTTAGGAAGAGTCAATTTGGTTCATAAAATTATTTTCTATATTTAGAAAAGTTCTCTAGAGTTTATAAATTTATTTTTAAAATTTTTTGGAATGGTCACTTTATTACATAAACTTATTTTCTATATTTAGAAAGGTTCTTTAGAGTTTAAAAAATTATTTTTATAAATTTTTGGAAGGTTCAATTTGGTCCATAAAATTGTTTTATATATTTAGAAAGGTTCTTTGGAGTTTATAAAATTATTTTTATAAATTTTTGGAAGGGACATTTTGGTACATAAAATTATTTTCACTATTAAGAAAGGTTCTTTAGGGTTTATAAAATAATTTTTAAAATTTTTTGGAAGGGTTAATTTGGTACATAAAATTATTTACTATATTTAGAAAGGTTTTCTAGGGTTTATAAAATTATTTTTAAAATTTTTTGAAATGGTCAATTTAGTACATGAAATAATTTTCTAAATTTAGAAAGGTCCTTTGGAATTTATAAAATTATTTTTATAAATTTGTGAAAGGCTCAATTTAGTACATAAAATTATTTCCTATATTTAGAAAGGTTCTCTAAGGTTTATAATTTTATTTTTAAAAATTTTTTGAATGGTCAATTTAGTATATAAAATTATTTTCTATATTTAGAAATGTTATTTAGGATTTATAAATTTATTTTTTAAAAATTTTTGGAAGGGTCAATTTAGTACATAAAATTATTTTCTATATTTAGAAAGGTTCTCTAGGGTTTATAAATTTATTTTTAAAAGTTTATGGAATGGTCACTTTAGTATAGAAACTTATTTGCTATATGTAGAAAGGTTCTTTGGAGTTTATAAAATTATATTTATAAATTTTAGGAAGGTTCAATTTGATACATAAAATTATTTTCTATATTTAGAAAAGTTCTTTGGAGTTTATAAAATTATTTTTATAAATTTTTGGAAGGGACAATTTGGTAAATAAAATTATTTTCTATATTTAGAAAGGTTCTTTGGAGTTTATAAAATTATTTTTATAAATATTTGGACGTGTCAATTTGGTACATAAAATTATTTACTATATTTAGAAAGGTTCTTAGGAATATATAAAATTATTTTTAGAAATTTTTTGAAGGGTCAATTTGGTACATAAAATTATTTCCTATATTTAGAAAGGTTCTCTAGGGTTTATAAAATTATTTTTAAAATTTTTTGGAAGGGTCAATTTGGTTCATAAAATTACTTACAATAATTAGAAAGGTTATCTAGGGATTGTAAAATTAGTTTTAAAAATTTTTAGAAGGGTCAATTTGGTATATAAAATTATTTTCTATATTTAGAAAGCTTCTCTAGGGTTTATAAAATTATTTTTAAAATTTTTTGGAATGGTCAATTTAGTATATAAAATTATTTTCTATATTTAGAAATGTTATTTAGGGTTTATAATTTTTTTTAAAAAAAAATTTTGGAAGGTTCAATTTAGTACATAAAAATTATTTTCTATATTTAGAAAGATTCTCTATGGTTTATAAATTTATTTTTAAAAGTTTTTGGAATGGTCACTTTAGTACATAAACTTATTTGCTATATTTAGAAAGGTTCTTTGCAGTTTATAAAATTATATTTATAAATTTTAGGAAGGTTCAATTTGGTACATAAAATTATTTTCTATATTTAAAAATGTTCTCTAGGTTTTATAAAATTATTTTAAAAATTTGTTGGATGGTCAATTTGTTACATAAATTTATTTTCTATATTTAGAAAGGTTCTTTGGAGTTTATAAAATTATTTTCATAAATATTTAGAAGGTTCAGTTTGGTACATAAAATTATTTCCTATATTTAGAAAGGTTCTCTAGGGTTTATAAAATTATTTTTAAAATTTTTTGGAAGTGTCAAGTTGGTATATAAAATTATTTTTTATATTTAGAATGTTTTTCGAGAGTTTATAAAATTATTTTTAAATATTTATGGAATGGTCAATTTAGTACATAAACTTATGTTCTATATTTAGAAAGGTTTTTTTGTTGTTCGTAAAATTATTTTTATAAATATTTTGAAGTGTCAATTTGATACATAAAATTATTTTCTATATTTAGAAAGGTTCTTTGGAATTTATAAAATTATTTTTATAAATTTTTGGAATGCTCAATTTGGTTCATAAAATTATTTCCTATATTTAGAAAGGTTTTCTAGGTTGTATAAATTTATTTTTAAAATTTTTAGAAAGAGTCAATTTGATACATAAAATTATTTTCTATATTTAGAAAAAGTTCTCTAGAGTTTATAAATTTATTTTGGAATAAGGTTCAAATTGGCCATTGAACGTAACCTGAAAATGCAATTACGCCACTGAACGAAAACAAAGTGCAATTAAACCACTGAATACTCCAAAAATGTGCAATTTCACCTGATAGCGGGTTACCCTCAATTTTAGCAGGTTATCTACTTACGTGGCAGCTGAGTTGGCATTTTTAATAAATTTTAAATCATTTTTAATAAATTTTAATAATAATTTTTTATTAAAAAAAATTTTAAAAATAAAAACGACTTTATTTTATTTTTTATTTAATTTTTTTTCAATTTTTTTATAAAATTTATTATTAAAATTAATTATTTAAAATTATTAAAAATGCCAACTCAGCTGCCACGTAAGCAGGTAACCTGCTAAAATTGATGGTAACCTGCTATCCGGTGAAATTGCATACGTTTGGAGAGTTCAGTGGTCTAATTGCACGTTTTTTGAGTGTTCAGTGACCTAATTGCACTTTTTGTTCGTTCAGTGGCCTAATTGCATTTTCAGATTACGTTTAGTGGCCAATTTGAACCTTATTCCATTTATTTTTAAAATTATTTGGAATGGTCACTTTATTACATAAACTTATTTTCTATATTTAGAAAGGTTCTTTAGAGTTTAAAAAATTATTTTTATAAATTTTTGGAAGGTCCAATTTGGTCCATAAAATTGTTTTATATATTTAGAAAGGTTCTTTGGAGTTTATAAAATTATTTTTATAAATTTTTGGAAGGGACATTTTGGTACATAAAATTATTTTCTCTATTAAGAAAGGTTCTCTAGGGTTTATAAAATAATTTTTAAAATTTTTTGGAAGGGTCAATTTGGTAAATAAAATTATTTACTATATTTAAAAAGATTTTCTAGGGTTTATAAAATTATTTTTAAAATTTGTTAGAATCGTCAATTTAGTACATAAAATTATTTTCTATATTTAGAAAGGTTCTCTAGGGTTTATAATTTTATTTTTAAAAATTTTGTGAATGGTCAATGTAGTATATAAAATTATTTTCTATATTTAGAAATGTTATTTATGCTTTATACATTTATTTTTAAAAAAATTTCTGGAAGGGTCAATTTAGTACATAAAAAATATTTTCTATATTTAGAATGGTTCTCTAGGGTTTATAAATTTATTTTTCAAAGTTTTTGGAATGGTCACTTTAGTACATAAACTTATTTGCTATATTTAGAAAGGTTCTTTGGAGTTTATAAAATTATATTTATAAAATTATATATATAATTATTTTTAGAAATTTTTGGAAGGGTCAATTTGGTACATAAAATTATTTCCTATATTTAGAAAGGTTCTCTAGGGTTTATAAAATTATTTTTAAAATTTTTTGGAAGGGTCAATTTGGTTCATAAAATTACTTACTATAATTAGAAAGGTTATCTAGGAATTATAAACTTAGTTTTTAAAATTTTTGGAAGGGTCAATTTGGTATATAAAATTATTTTTTATATTTAGAAATCTTCTATAGGGTTTATAAAATTATTTTTAAAATTTTTTGAGAGGGCTCAAATTAGTACATAAAATTATTTCCTATATTTAGAAATGTTCTATGGAGTTTATAAAATTATTTTCAAAAATATTTGGAAGGGTCAGTTTGGTACATAAAATTATTTCCGATATTTAGAAAGGTTCTATAGGGTTTATAAAATTATTTTTGAAATTTTTTGGAAAAGTCAATTTGGTACATAAAATTATTTTCTATATCTAGAAAGGTTCTTTGGAGTTTATAAAATTATTTTCATAAATATTTGGAAGGGTCAGTTTGGTACATAAAATTATTTTTATAAATTTTTGGAAGGCTCAATTTGGTACATAAATTATAAAATTTTTTGAAAGGGTCAATTTTTTGCATAAAATTATTTACTATATTTAGAAAGTTTCTCTAAGATTTATAAAATTATTTTTAAAATTTTTTGGAATGGTCAATTTAGTACATAAAATAATTTTCTAAATTTAGTAAGTTTCTTTGGAATTTATAAAAGTACTTGTTTTTTACGCGCATTGCGCGATTGGGATAATGCCCAATGCTTTTTTTTAAATAAGTACTTTAAAGTATATTAAGGCAGAATTATATTGAAATTGTTCATGCATAGATCATTGAAGGTTGAATTTATGTATTTAAATAGGTAATTCTTCTCCCAAAGGTTGAGTCCCCAACCCCAAGGCCCCCCACACTCCGACCCGACAGAGCATTGTGGGAAGTTTTAAATCACGGTGACTCAATGGTTCAGCAGACAGGGCCAAAGGTTGAGTCCCCAACCCCAAGGGCCCCCCCACACTCCGACCCGACAGAGCATTGTGGGAAGTTGTAAGTCACAGCGACTCAATGGTTCAGCAGACAGGGCCAAATGCTGATACGCACAAGGAATCTGCCCACTTTGGATATAATTCCCGCACTGCCGCTGCCGAGGTTCAAACCTTGGTCTCTTCTCCGAAATACTACCCACTAAACCATTGAGCTAAGCTCGTGCGGGTTAAATAGGTAATTCTAAGTTTACAAATGCAAGATAATATAGTCAAGATTGATTATAATTGTCAATAAAATAATTGTATAGGTATGGTAGAAACCAAATACGGGACATAAGGGAGAACAAATAAAAATTATGGCATAAAATATTAAATATATACTAATATTGTTTGAGGAGATTCCGACATTAGTATTTGTGGTTAAGTTCTATTAAGACTTTAATATTAGAATTAGACTAACAGTGAATTAACGGAAAAGTTAAATGGATAATCATATAATTAATGATAAATTAGAAAATCTTAAAAGAAAAAAATTAAAACCTGAACAATATGAACCATTCATTTGATTTAATAATTTGGCGGTCATTTTTTCTACCCAATGTTAATAATTAAATAAATTCGCTGGTCAAATCCGCTAACGCTAACCCGTTAACTGCTGATTGTCAAACAAGGACATTGCGAGGTAGTTCTCACTTCAATTTGTTGTGTGATTTGAATATCTCTTTGTCACAAAATCTCTCAAGTAATTAATATGGTTGGCTTTATTAATTATATTTTTTTAATTTTTTCATGGTATTAATAAAATACTCCCTCCGTCCCGAAATGGTTGTCTCATTTGCTTTTTGCACGCTTTTTAAGGAATTAAAGTAAATGCTATGTCATTTCCCAATTATGCCCTTCACTTTTCTTACTTTTGGAAATAAAAGCAAAAGTCATAAGGGTAAATTGGAAAAGTAGAATGATATTGATGTTCAATTTTGGAAAGATGACAACATTTTGGGACAAACTAAAAAGGAAAGTAAGACATGGAAAATGGGACGGAGGGAGTACTTGGTAAATAAATATATAGCATTATTTTGTATTATAGCTTTGATATTTAATTAGAAAAATAGTGCACAAAAAAGATAATAGATAATGTAGTGAATATAATCAATTGATGAATTTGAATGTACAAATTTTTACATTTGAGAAAAATAAAGACAATATAACTAATGAAAATATTTCTTTTAATTAATTTATTGATAATTAATAATTTTTGTTTTCACTGAATAAAGACATTGTAAGGACAATGTAGCGAATATAGTCAATTAATAAATTTGAATATAAAGAATTTTTATATTGAAGAAAAATAAAGACAATATAACTAATAAAATTATTTCTCTTATTTAATTTATTGATAATGAATAATTTTTTTTTTGAATAAAGGCATTGTGGACACATAATTATAAATTAAAGAAATGCATATGTATTATTTTTTGTTGTAACTACTAAATTATTATTTATATAATAATTTAATAAGAGTAAAATAAAGTACTAATTATGCCAACTTTGATTGGGATGAGGTTCGAACCTAAGACCTTGTTCTATTGAAATCAATGAGTAAGTTAACGGTGAACTAACGGCAATTCTTAAAATTTTAACGAAATTAGTAACGGTGTGTGGGTATTTTAGGAAATTTTAGTGTAAAATTTAAATCTGATCAATCTTTCAATCAATCTGAGCCATTCATTTGATTAAAATCTGTGACCGCCATTTTTTCTACCCATTATAGGCCTAACTCTATTGGGCTCTTATTAGTATAGTAGATAGTAGATTTTTATAAATTTTTGGAATGCTCAATTTGGTACATAAAATTATTTCCTATATTTAGAAAGGTTTTCTAGGTTTTATAAAATTGTTTTTAAAATTTTTAGGAAGAGTCAATTTGGTACATAAAATTATTTTCTATATTTAGAAAAGTTCTATAGAGTTTATAAATTTATTTTTAAAATTATTTGGAATGGTCACTTTATTACATAAACTTATTTTCTATATTTAGAAAGGTTCTTTAGAGTTTAAAAAATTATTTTTATAAATTTTTGGAAGGTTCAATTTGGTCCATAAAATTGTTCTATATATTTAGAAAGGTTCTTTTGAGTTTATAAAATTATTCTTACCCATAAGGCATGATTGACAGCTGCTGTTGCTGATATGAACTCAGCTTCAGCGGTTGATTGAGCCACAATTTCCTGCTTCTTTGAACTCCACGTAAAAATTCCAGATCCAAAGTTGAAACAGAAATCGGAAGTGTTTTTCATGTCATATATGGACCCTGCCCAATCACTATCAGAATAACCTTGCAATTCAAAATTTGGTGTCTGACAGAACTAAACACCAAAGCTTAAAGTTCCCTTCACATAACGGAGAACTCTTTTTGCAACCTTGAAATGAGACTCACTAGCACAATTCATAAATCTTGAAAGAACACTTACAACATACATGATATCCGATCTTGTTGTCGTAAGATACATCAAGCAACCAATCAAGCTTTTATACATGGACTCATTCACCTTAGCTGTTCCATCATCTCTACATAACTTCTCTTTTGGACACATAGGAGTGATCACACTCTTATAATCATCCATGTTAAATTTCTTTAGAATCTCTTTTGCATACTTCTGTTGACAAATGAAGATTTCATTTCGTCTCTGCTTGATTTCCATTACCAGAAAATATGACATTTCTCCAAGATCAGTCATCTCAAAGACTCTCATCATATCTTCTTTGAACTGTTTAATAAGCTCAATGCTGTTGCCAGTCACTAAAACATCATCAACATATAAAGAAACCACCAGAAAATGATTTCCATCGCCTTTGATATATAACGTGGACTCACTAGGACTTTTGACAAAGTCTAATTTCAACAGGTATTCATCAATTCTGCTATACCAGGCTCTTGGAGCCTGCTTCAGGCCATATAAAATTATTTTCTATATTTAGAAAGGTTCTTTGGAGTTTATAAAATTATTTTTATAAATTTTTGGAAGGGTCAATTTGGTACATAAAATTATTTACTATATTTAGAAAGGTTCTCTAGGGTTTATAAAATTATTTTTAAAAATTTTTGGAATGGTCAATTTAGTATATACACTTATTTTCTATATTTAGAAAGGTTCTTTGGAGTTTATAAAATTATTTCTATAAATTTTTGGAAGGGTCAATTTGGTACATAAAATTATTTTCTATATATAGAAAGGTTTTTTGGAGTTTATAAAATTATTTTTATAAATTTTTGGAAGGGACATTTTGGTACATAAAATTATTTTCTCTATTTAGAAAGATTTTTTAGGGTTTATAAAATTATTTTTAAAATATTTTGGAAGGGTCAATTTGGTACATAAAATTATTTACTATATTTAGAAAGGTTCTCTAGGGTTTTTAAAATTATTTCTTGAAAAGAAATTGTTGGTAGGGCCGTCTTTTAGGATAGTCGTGGCTACCAGATAGCCACGACCATCATTTTTTACCGCCGTGGCTAGCAAAAAAAATCAAAATTTTTCTATAGACAGCCATGGTTGTCCTTAAATGAGTACAGCCACCGGTGGTTGTATGAAGAATTTTAAAAAAATAAAATAATAATAATAATAAACAAAAAATAAAAAAGAGACACATGTAAGCATTATAAGGCACTAACCTACTAAACAGGTAATTTTGGACTTAATTGGACTTTTTTTTTTTTTTACAGGTTTAGGAGATTGAAATGATGCTTTTTTTTTTTTTTTTATTTTTTTTTTTATTTTTTACTTAGGGGACTCCATTGCACTATTCGCTTGACTTAGGGGGCCAATTTGACCCTTTTTCCTTCATGTAATATTACTCAATTATTAAATGGGTACATTATATATATATATATATATATATATATATATATATATATATATATATATATATATATATATATATATATATATATATATATATATATATATATATATATATGTTGGTTATTTCAGAGAAAAGACACATCTTATTAATTGATGAAATACTGCTTAAATACACAAAAGAAATTGACAAACAAAAGATAGCCACTAACCCACTAACTAGCTAACATCAAACCACTAAGACACTAACAAGTAAGTGACAATTAAACTCCTAAAGACTTGGTTATAAAAGCAAACTAAACATGGGAATAAACTGAAAAATAACTGAAGTTACTGATGCAACATTCAAACTATATATATATATATATATATATATATATATATATATATATATATATATATATATATATATATAGTACTGGAATCAGTCTTTGAAATTTATTGAATACATTATACATTTCCAAGGCAAGAACTTGCTTAAAAGTTGGAACATTGCTGTGGCATCTTGGCACAAGTCAAACCATCATTAATGCAATTTTCGTTTTTAATTAACCCCTTCTTTCCTCAAACTAAAAGACAATTGACATTATTGATGCTCTGCAACCAATTTGCAGTAAAATAGCAAAGGTTCCATTTGGTTGATCATGAGATTACAATGATTAAATAATTATTATTTTTTGGATACATTGGAGGGGGCTAGGCCCCACTAAGTTATTCTACGCGTACATGCCCCTCCTACATCGGCAAGGAGAAAGCCAGCTAAACAAACCGGAGGGTCAGCGGGTTATATGTATATAGCAATACACCCACGTATATGCATTGTTTTTATTTATTTTTAATTAACATCTTAGGTGACACCTAGGCATCATCTAGGCTTCCTGGGCGTTAGGCGCTACTCTACTGCGCCACTAGCATCCAGCGCCTACTGTTACCACGCATATATTATATATATTGAACATTCTTCCAAAAGGCTGAACCCCAACCCTAAGGGCCCTCAACACCCCAGTCCGACAGAGCATTCACCCCAGTCCGACAGAGCATTTAGGAGGATGTAAATCATGGTGACTCAACTGAACATGAACCATTCTTCCAAAAAACTGAACCCCAACCCTAAGGGCCCCCAACACCCCAGTCCGACAGAGCATTTGGGAGGATGTAAATCATGGTGACTCAACTGAACATGAATCATAGAAGCTAGACCGGTGCTCACTACGCACAAGGAGCCCCTCACTTTGAGAAGTTGCTCCCACACTACCGCTGGTGAGACTCGATCCCTGGTCATTGAACATGGATAATCTTTATGTCTCTTTCATCATGAAACATAATAATAATAATAAATGAAGTACCTTTATAAAAAAAAATAATAATAATTGAAGTACCTATGCGGTTTTCCTACAATGGGTGAGAGTGAGACCACTCATTCAATCATTTTCTCCTCTAAAGAAAAACCACTCTCAGTGTGATCATTCGCACTGTTAGTTCCCACTCTCAGTTCCACTTGAGTGAAGCCATGGCTGCTCTTTTACTCTCACCCTTTTCTCTCCTCCTTCTCGCCAGGGTTTCAGCTTCCATTGTTGCCCTTCTTGTTCTCACTTGGGCGGTTCACTTCCAGACTAGCTTCATTCCACATTCTCCTTCCCAAGATGACCTCATCTATGCTGTAATAACCCCCTCCCCCTCTCCCCATGTCTGTATATGTATATATGTGTCTAAAGATTTGATTTTTAATTTGCAGGTGCTTCACCCATTGTTAATGGTGATAGGTTTCATTCTTGTGAGTGGAGAAGGTAGAAAGCTCTACTCTTTAGTAATGTATTTTTGGGGAATTTAAAAGGGTTTTGAAAATTTTTGGTGTTGTTTGTGAGTTTCAGCAATCTTGGTGCATAGATGGTTGCCAGGGTCAAGAAATTTGAAGAAATCAGTGCATTTGGGCCTGCAAGGAGTGGCTTTGGGGTGTGGGGTGTTTGGAATCTGGACAAAGTTTCATAGCAGAGAGGGTATTGTGGCTAATTTCTACAGCTTGCATTCTTGGATGGGTTTGGTTTGTATTTCCTTGTTTGGGGCTCAGGTAAATCTTGTTCACATTTTGGACCATTTGATTTCTTCTCATTTGTTGAAGATTCACTCCTGAACTCCAATGGGAGCGGTCTATTGACCTTCTTAGTTTGGATGTTCACACCCTTGGGGTAGTGACATTATAACAACACGTTTAGTTCACGGAATAGGCTTGGAATGAAATTCCATTTGTGGAAATAGGACTATTCCGTCATCGGTAAGCCTTTTTATTCTCGAGAATAGGATTAGGTAGCTAGTGATATCCCTCTTGTTGGGCGGAGGTTCGAAGGGCCAAGTTTAAGATCCTACAATAAAGTTGAGTTTTCGCTACTAGCTATAACTTTTGGCATAGGAGTGGAGAACTTATTAAATGTGATCTAATGTCTTTCGAGAATCCTATGTTTAAACTTCAAAGACCAACAAGTTCTGTTTCTAGATGGAACTTTATTGGCCTTTCAATCTGTTATATGAACATGACTGGATTTATTTTGTTCAGCTTTAATAAAAAAGTCTCTTCGGTTAAGGAGGAGACTGATATAGCTAAAGTTTACAATTCTCACATTATAGAGCTGAACTTATTAAATGCGATCTAATGTCCTTTAGGAATCCTAACTTTAAAGACCAACAAGTTCTTCTATCTATAGACTATAGTACAATGACATGACTTCCTCTTATTTATTATTCATTTATTTTATTTTATTAGGACTAGTATTAACCCCCATACATAGTAAATGTTTGAGTATAAGGGTTTTAGAAGGCATTTATGTCTACCAGCAAACCAGATGTTAGGCGGAGGCCGGTGAAGGGCCAAGTCCAGCACCAGGTAGTTAAGGGATTCTTGGGCGGAGGCTTAAAGGGCCAAGTCTAGCACTCTTCCGCTTGAAAATGTGAAAGTATAAGGAATTAAAGAAAATAAAGTTGTATTTTCGCTACTAGCTATAGTTTTTTATTTAGTAGTAAGCGCTTGATCCTAGTTTAGACTAGCAGGTGCTGGGGGAATTGTTGGGCGAAAGCCGGTAAAGGGCCATATCCAGCACTCTCCTTTCAGAAATGTGGCGATATGAGGAAATAAAGTTATGGCCTTTAGCTATAACTTTTGACATAGTGATAAGCGTTTGATCCTAACACCAGATTTTACTTTTTGGAGCACACGGTTTCAAGAATGGAACCTTCCTTACCTCCTACCTTGGGTAGGCAAAATTTGGTCTTTACAAGTAGTCTTGGCTAAGGATGATTTTGTTTAAAAGAAACATTTTGTGCCAAATGACAAATTTTACTAATGCTAGTTCCACCTCTTCTGTGCAGTGGATGGTTGGTTTCCTAAGCTTTTGGCACCGAGGAGAGTTGCGAACGACGAGGATACAAGTCCTCCCATGGCATGTATTTCTCGGCCTCTACACATACGGGTTGGCAGTGGTGACAGCCGAGACTGGCCTTCTCGAGAAGTTGACCTTCCTGCAGACGAACGGGGCGTTACTGAAGCGTTGTACAGAATCCATGGTTGTAAACGGTTTAGGACTCGGATTGGCTCTGCTTGGTGGCATTGTAATATTTGCTGCAATATCACCAAAACATCAGATTTCACATTCAAAGATTGTATATTCAAATAAGAAGTGGTCATCATCTTAGTTGAAGCTAGACAGATGCCTTTGTTAACCCTTTCTTTGTACAGGTTCCTTCTTGCTAGTGCAGTCATAAGAGAAAATGGTCAAATAGGCTCTTGAACTTTTGGTGAAAAAGTAATTAGATCCTAAACTTTAAAAGTTACATGAACTAGTTATTTTAGTATATCCAGTAAGATAGTATATAACAGCCATCTGCACAAGAACTAATTGAATATGAGCCTATTCTATATAATAGAACAACTATTATCGTTTTTAGGGTGCATCTTATATATTTTTCTTGGTATATATGTATATAACAGCACATCTGCACAAGAACTAGGGGTTGAGAAGGGTGTATAATCGAGTTACCCTATCCCGACGCTGAATGGCCTGGGGTGAAGGACTGAAGGCTGAAGGGCGATTGAGAGAAGGCTATCAAGTGTTGAGCAAAACTGATGAGTGGCGGATGACATCTCCGGGACAACAAAAGTTCATTTGCTCTAGTGTCAAATGTCGCCCCTTAATTGGGCTGGCTCGGTGCGAATGGGGATTAGTCTGAGTATTCTACGGGCTTCAAGTTGCCTCCTACAGTTAGGGCCTGCTCAGAACACCTCATGACCTGACCAAAAAAAAAAACCATTCCATAAGATCCAATTTAAGGTCTAAGTTAGACAAGGTACATAATGCACAAATGATACTCCATATTAAAGAATAGATAAGTTAGTGATTCACATACCTGATATTTGTCTCAATCCAGTAAGATTTTACTGCCTTTTGCTTTTAACTTCCTCTCCAGACCAAAAAACTTCAAACCGCATAACACCAAATCTGCTGTTTTCTTTTTCATTTGCTCGATAAGTAGCTCATCGTAAACAACTACCTCAGCTTCAGTGAGAAGTTTGCGGACCCTCATAGCCGTAAAGACTTTCCTCGCCTCTTCAATTGTTCCATGCGTACACATGCCACAAATAATAGCGCAATATATGATGTTATTAGGAGGATAACCCTGTTCAATCATTTCACTTAGAACTTCAACAACCTTTTCAGCATCATTAGTTTTGCTGGCATGGATAATTGTTAGTGTATATTTGAATTCCATGGGCCCATTTGTAACATTCGCTAAACAATCGCGTATTAGCATCATAGCAGCATCAATCTCTCCTATCTTGCAAAGTTTCTTAACGAGTGAATAATATGCCAAAGTAGAAGGAACCAAGGACATCTCTCTTAACCGGTTATAGCAGGTACATGCCTCGTGAATATCATTGATTTCAATGAAGCACTGAATTGCAATGCTATAGGTCAATGAATCACAGTGAAACTTTTTATCGTTTAATTCTTGGAAAAGTTTTAGAGCCTCATCCACCTTCCCAATACTGTGTAGTGCCTCCATGAGAACATTATAAGTTTGAACACTGCAATCATATTTGAGTTTCAACTCTTCAAAAAGTTCCCAAGCAAGCATTATGCCATTGTCCTTTTTCACCATAATGGAAAAGAATTCGGATAGATTGTCCCTAATACGAAAACCCAATTTCTGCATTTGCTCGAGCAAACTGATGAAGTCATCCATTCTTTTTGACTCGGCATAAGATAGCAGGATGGGGCCCACAGTGAAAAAGTCGGGTTGGAGATCCTCTTCAACTGTGACTCTGAGAAGTTTATAAGCCCTATCAACCAGCCGATGGTTGCACAGACCTTCTATGAGACAGTTATATATTGCTAAATCGGCCCTGTAACCAGAATTCATCATATCCTTAAGTAAATCACAAGCAGAACCAACCTTCCCGCTTGTAACAAATGCTTCTATCAAAGATCCATATATAGCCCTATCAATCAAATACTTCTTCTCTTTCATCTCCTCAAACAACTCGTACCCTTTCTCTAACTGATTTCCTTTGCACAACCCGGTGATGAAAGTGCCATAAGCCATAACATCTGGTTCAATCCCATCCCTCTTCATTTCTTCCCAAAATCTTGAACACCCATCCAGATTTCCCTCTGAAACAAGCACCTTCACCATTGCTGTGTAAGCAAAAACGTCTGGTTTGCATAGATTCTTCCTCATTCGGTCCAAAAGCTCAATCGCTTCATTCACTTGCCCTGACTTGCATAAACCCTTTATCAGTACCATAAAGGTAACAGTCTCCTCCACTAATCCATCCCTTCTGAAATCATCATAAACCGACAATGCCAAATCTAAATGGTTTGTTTTAACCAAGGCATCCATTATCCTATTATAGAGGAATACTCTTGGTTTGATGTCAAATTTCTTCATTTTCTCATACACATAGTACACTCGAAGACCCCTATTTGCATCAGAGTGCATTCTAATTAAAATTTCAAACTGTTTCTCGGTAGGTGGTTGCCCCTGCATATGCATTAGCTCAGGTATCTGGTCTGCAGCCCGAAATTGATTTGTCCGATTCAAGCTATAAGCAAAGGCATTATAGCAAGCAAACTCATGCCTATAACCCTTTTGCTTTCCTGCCGAACAACATTAGAAGAATAAGTCCATTTATGGACACAAGAAAAACAAAGTCAATAAAGATCTCTAGCCAAGAGGTCTGCTAATCAGTATTAATGTCTTCAATCAACAAGTAACCCAACTCTTAATTTGGAAAAAAAAAAAAAAAAATTGTCCAAGAATCCAACAAACTGTGCACTCTAGAGATGTACAACAAAGTTAAAGAATAGTGATTTCGTTGTTTTTGTCACATAAGAATAAGATTTATTTCACCAAAAATAGCTCAAAAGAAAAATAGATAAAGAAAGAATTTTTACACACCAGCCCAATAGAAGAACTTGGAGGAGAGCCTTGGGTCAATATTTGGGATCTTGAGAATCTCAGTCACAAGTTTGGGAGTAACCCGGCGAAGGCGATTCAGGTCTTCGACCACCAGTGGGCCCCAGCGGCCATGCTTTCTGAAGGAGTCAACAATATACCTAGCAATGGGGGAGAGAGTCTTTGCCACAGAGAAGAACTCTTGAGATGGGTCTCTGGCGGGTCGAGAATGTGCATCCGGGTCCCATTTCCGGAGGTCGAAGTCGAGTGGATCATATGGAGTAGGCTGGGCGTTGGTGGCGGGGTTAATGGTCTGGCGGTTGGAGAAGAGGCCGCCACGGACGGTGGGGCGGTTCTGGGTGGGTTTCCGGTGACCGTAGAAGAAGTAAGGTCTGTGGGGTTTCACAGTTGCAACTGCTGAGGGCTGCGGCGGCATTTTTGTGTTTTTTTGTCTAGAAACAAAATTTTATGAATGCAAAATCTTTAGAAATGTTGGCTAGAAGCCCAGAATAAAACACATTAATATGCCTAATTTTTTCAATTCCAGCAATCCAATCCAACTATGTATAAAGGTAAATGTTTGTTGGTAAATAGCTACTATCTTATTGGATTATCTGATTGGATTAGTGAATTTAACAAGTTAAGATGTTTGGTAAATTCCCGTAATATATGTTTTTTTTCGAAAAAAAAAAAAAAAAAGCACCTGTTTTGGCCGATTTATAGTCGTCATTGACTACCTTCGATCTGCGTCCGGTGGTAGGCGGCGGCAACAGCTGTTGACGCCGCTCGATTCATCGGATCCGGACGACTGCGTTTTTTTCCGGCGGCGTTTCTTTGGTGCAGCAGTCGCTGCTTCGCTTAAAGAACATACAATTTTTTTCTCTGTTTGACCGCGCTGGGCTATTGGAGGCTGCTACGGCAGTAGAGGGGCAGCGGCGTTGTTGGCTTTCCTATGGCCGCCGGCGTTGCTGTGTCCCGGTGGGTGCCCGACGATCTGACGGAGGGCGACGGCGGCAGCACTGGTCGTTGATCGCTGTTGATTCGCGATTCGTTTTGGAGATGAGACTGGGCTTCGCTTTTGGCGATGATTCGCGACTCGCTGGGCTGTTGATGGATTATTTTGGTTGGGCTGGGTCTGGCCCAATTCTGCCAGACCTGGTTTTTTTTTTAAATAATAATAATTGGGCTCATTTTGGTTCTTGGACTTTTATATGCATTCTTTTAGGCCTATGATGATTTAATCCTTTATGATATACATGTTTTATTTGTGCCTAATTTATTTTGATTTATATGCATAAATTGATTGATTTGGGCCAGCAATTTTTTCTTTTTAAAGTATTAAGAACTATATTGCTTTCAAGGGCAAATTATCTATGAAAACGTGCCCACCTTGTAAGGTGTGCACAGTTGTAGATTTATAATTTTTATACATTAGATTCATAATTTTTAAACAGTATAAATTATGAATCTACAATATTAGGTTTGTAAACATGTGATAGAGCTATATGTTCATAATTTTATAAATATATGTTCATAATTATAGAGTTATATTCAATTGTATTGTATATATATTCAGGCTATGAGTTTACAAATATCATGGACTCTTTTCTTCAACTAGGGTTTTCTCATGTATTTTCCTAATAAAGTTTTTAACGAGGCATGAATGTATTCACATATACTATCCATATACCTTGTACTCTCATATTATATATATTCAGGCTATGAGTTTACAAATTTACAAAGAGTTAATTCCAGCAATGGTCCTCCGACTATTGTGATTTTCCAAAATTGGTCCTTGTCTTTTAATTTGGACAAAATAGACCCTTGACTATCAGAATTGTTTCACCATTGATCATTTCATTAACATGGTGTTAAATAGACGTTAAGTGAAGGGGTAAAATGGTCCTTTCCATAGTTAGGTTTCTTATCTCCTTCATTCCCTTGTTGAAGCTCAAAAATCTCCTAGGATGAAATCTCAAATCAGAAATTCCCTTGCCGATATGATTCTACGCCCAGACAACGCTGCTGCTATTCCCATGTCTTTTTCCTCTACTGTTTCTTTTTGTCTTTCGCCGAACCAAAGAAAACAAAAAGAACGAAAGTGGATTTTTTTTTTCTTTCCCCTACTGCGCAAAATCCAAATTAATTCCCTTTTTCTTTTTTCCCTTCAGCTGTTTTCCAGTGAACCAAAAACAACAAACATTTCACTATGACTATGACGCCCAGCCTACAGTCTGCTACAGGGACGATAACCGATACTAGGGCACGAGAGAGATCTAGAATTGGAATATGGAGGTAACCAGGAAGGGTTGCTAGATAAAATCCGGCCATCGAGGCTAGAAGATGCCGGCCTAGAAGATTATGCGCTGCCGTCGGAGTCCATCAAAGAGGCATTCCTCAAGGTTGCGAGCGTCGTGCGGTCGATCATTTCCACATCGGACAATGAAGCCGAAGACAGTGGTGTGGGCGATCCGTGGTTGAGCACTGGAGATTCACCCGATTCGCTCGTCGGAATCACGGAAGTAGTCGACATCGACCTAGGTAGCTGTGTCACCGAGAAGCCAGCGGTGGAGTTCCTGAAGTGGCCAGCGACGAGGTGGTTGTAGCCGGTGCAGGCGGAGATGAGGATAAAACGGATGCGCTGGTAGCACTTGAAAAGCTATGCAGAAACAAATACAATGGTGCACAGAAAAGCCATTGAGGCAGTACCAATGAAGCTAAACTTGAAGGTTATGAACTTTTGTAGTGTTGGTATGCAAAATTGCAGAATGGCGATGGACAGAGGAAATGACCCTTTTATCCCTTTACTTAACACTAATATAACTGATGGTTAACGGAAGGACCAATGTTGGAACAAATCTGATAGTCAAGGGTCTATTTCGTCCAAATTAAAAGACGAGGACCAATTTTGGAAAATCACAATAGTCGGAGGACCATTGCTGGAATTAACTCAATTTACAAATCTCATGGACTCTTTTCTTCAACTAGGATTTTCCCATGTAATTTTTCTAGTAAAGTTTTTAACGAGGCATGAATGCATTCACATATACTATCCATATACATATTCGCATGTACAATGTACTGAGGTGTTAGAGCTAATGGTTATATATATTCAATTGTATTATATATATTCACATGTACAATGTACTGAGGTGTTAGAAATCTATAACCATAGACTTTTTAATATCAATCAATCAATCAATATCAAATCAAATTTAAATCTCAACCAACTAAGCTACTTAAATTATTAGCACTTTAAACATAAATATACATTTATATAACATTTAATGTTATATATATATATATATATATATATATATATATATATATATATATATATATATATATATATATATATATATATATATAAAGGGCTGGGCTGGGGGTAGTGGGGGCAGCTGCCCCCATACTAGTTTCGTCCTTGTACGTATCCATGTTGATGTTGCAGTGAATCATGGTGAGGATGAAGGCTACGTTGCTGCGGTAGTCCATAATGAGAATGATACTTTTTTGGTTGCTCGAAGCTCGTCGATTCGTTGTTTATGTGACCCTCATCTAGCGGAAGCTATGGCAGTAAATGAAGCTTTATCTTGGGCTATGGACTGTGATTGGTGTAAAGTGGTGGTTTTTTCTTATTGTCAAATGGTTTGTTCGTTGCTAAAGTCGGCCTCTCCAAATCTATCTTATGCTGGTTGTGTTCTCGTAGAATGTCTTAACCTCAAACGACATTTTGAGTCTGTGTCATTTAGCTTTGTTCATAGATCAACGAATAAACCTACTCATGCCTTATCAAGAGCTGCTTCTTCATAGTCTGGTCCCTGTTGTTAGTTTACAACTTATCCTACTTGTATTCAACATTTGATTATTAATAATTAAGTCTCTCATTTTTTGAAAAAAAAAAGGAGCAAATATAGGGTAAATGAAGAATCTCGTGACTTAATGGTCAACAATAAAATATTTATAACACATGAAACATTATTTTAAGTGTTTGTCTTAATAAACATGTTGATTAATGTTATAATGAAATTTATAATTAGCCCGCATGAACAACTCAGTTGGAGTGAAGTTTAAAAAAAATGACCAAAAATTAAATCTCATCAACAGATGACTCTTTGTATGCAATAAGTAAATGTCTAGCGTTTATTGAGTTTTTCATTATTTGAAATCCAAAAGGAAATTGGGGCAAAATATTTCCCCAAACATAAATATACATTTTATATAACATTTAATGCTATATATATATATATATATATATATATATATATATATATATATATATATATAAAGCGCTGGGTTGGGGGTAGTGGGGGCAGCTGCCCCCATACTAGTTTCGTCCTTGTACGTATCCATGTTGATGTTGCAGTGAATCATGGTGAGGATGAAGGCTACGTTGCTGCGGTAGTCCATAATGGGAATGATACTTTTTTGGTTGCTCGAAGCTTGTCGATTCGTTGTTTATGTGACCCTCATCTAGCGGAAGCTATGGCAGTAAATGAAGCTTTATCTTGGGCTATGGACTGTGATTGGTGTAAAGTGGTAGTTTTTTCTGATTGTCAAATGGTTTGTTCGTTGCTAAAGTCAGCCTCTCCAAATCTATCTTATGCTGGTTGTGTTCTCGTAGAATGTCTTAACCTCAAACGACATTTTGAGTCTGTGTCATTTAGCTTTGTTCATAGATCAACGAATAAACTTACTCATGCCTTATCAAGAGCTGCTTCTTCATAGTCTGGTCCCTGTTGTTAGTTTACAACTTATCCTACTTGTATTCAACATTTGATTATTAATAATTAAGTCTCTCATTTTTTGTAAAAAAAAAAAAAGAGCAAATATAGGGTAAATGAAGAATCTCGTGACTTAATGGTCATCAGTAAAATATTTATAACACATGAAACATTATTTTAAGTGTTTGTCTTAATAAACATGTTGATTAATGTTATAATGAAATTTATAATTAGCTCGCATGAACAACTCAGTTGGAGTGAAGTTTAAAAAAAATGACCAAAAGTTAAATTTCGTCAACAATGACTCTTTGTATGCAGTAAGTAAATGTCTAGTGTCTATTTGTTTTTCATTATTTGAAATCCAAAAGGAAATTGGGGCAAAATATTTCCAAAAATAGATAGGAATCTATCAAGGGAAGAAGAAAAGGTGAAAATTAGAAGAAGCCATAAACAAGAAAATGGCTGTAGTGTTCAGTAGCCTGATGCTTACTCAGCCAACACAAATGGAATCAAATTAGTAAACACTAAACAGCTTGAGTGAATCGTCATTCGTCTACCCAAATCTCCCCCTGCAATTGCACATTTGCACTCCATGAACCCAAGGATCCGAACATAAACCCAACCCTAGCCCTAGCCCTAGCCCTATTTCTTTCTGTACAAAAGAAAATTTCTTCAAATGTGTTCGTCTATGACTATGCCACCTTGTTTTTTGTATCCTCCCTCGACCAGTCGATTTCTATATCCCCCAAACTTGAAAATTTCTTCAATCCCATTTCTGATCAGGACTAGAAG